CCTGTCTGACCACTTCTTCAGTGTATCTAGGATGCTCTCAGTGGGGACCATCTGGTGCATGCGTTACTCCTCACAGTTTTGTACCACCAGCAAACTTGGTGAAGGTGCCCTCTGTCACATCATCATCCAGGTCGTCAATAAAAATGCTAAACAATATTTGTCCCAGTATTGACCTCTGGGGCAGACCACTAGTAACTGGCCTCCTGGTGGACTTCATGCCATTGATTACAAGCCTCTGAGCCCATCAGAGTTCCCTGGGTTTTCAGTCTGCCTCACCATCCACTTACCAGGAGACAGCATCAAGGGCCTTGCTGAGGTCAAGATGAACGACGTCCACCGCTCTCCTCATCTCGCTGTAGAAGGCTGGTAAGGCACAAATCCACACTGACTACGCTTAATCACATTCCTGTTCTTAGTACAGTTTTCTCCATTATTTTGCAGGGGATCAAGGTGAGGCTGACCAGATAGTTCCCCAAATCCTCTTCTTGACCTTCTTCAAGATGGAGTGATGTTTTTCTTCCAACACATTCCTCTGTGGTTTGTTTTCCTTAAGTTAACTGAAATTGTCTCCAGCTCTGTCCTCAGCTATGGTGATGCTCCCATATACTCCCTCCTGCTCGTTAATGAGTTACTAGTTCTTTTCTGCACCCTCTTTAACTACCCCTTCTACAAGCTCCTACCTACCACATTTCCTCCTCTTCTCCCCAGTATCAGTGATCCTGGAACTCACTGCAAGTATTGCTTTCTCACACAATTTCATTACTGAGTTTTATCTAACAGTTTTCAAATGGTAGCCATCAATATTTCAAGACCTATATTAAACTTATTAAAATATATGTATGTTGCTATTTTAAATATTTCTGCTGTGCAGCTGACTCCCCCTTCTCAGATTTTGACTACAGACATGTAAATTGTGACAATCCAGTCACACCTGCTTTTCCTATTAGGCTATAAATCATCTGTTATTATAATAAAAACAGAATTCCTGAGTCGACTACATTCTTCATTTCTTCCCTAAAGTACTTTCTGTCTTCATCACCTGGAATGCTTCTCAGAATCAAAATTTTCTGTTTCTACACAGTCAACAAACTCTGTTCCACTTGCCAGAAATCTTTGAAGAACCATAGGAATATATTACATTGCAGAAAGAGAAGGGGTTTGGTTAGGCCTTACCCTATACTGACCTCAGGGGTTGGTACTGGGACCAATACTATTCAATATATTCATCAACGACCTGGATGAGAGAACAGAGTGCACCGTCAGCAAGTTTGCTGACGACACAAAACTGGGAGGAGTGGCTGACACACCAGAAGGATGTGCTGCCATTCAGTGAGACCTGGACAGGCTGGAGAGTTCGGCATGGAGAAATGTTTTGAAATACAAGGGCAAGCGTAGACTCTTGCACCTGGGAAAGAACAATTCCATGTACCAGTATAGCGGAAAGAGACCTGGGGTGCTAGTGGACAGCAGAATGCCCATGAGCCAGCAATGTGCCCTCGTGGCCAAGAAGGCCAATGGCATCCTGGGGTGTATTAGAAGGGGAGTAGCTAGTAGGTCGAGAGAGGTCCTCCTGCCCCTCTACTCTGCCCTGGAGAGGCCACATCTGGAATATTGTGTCCAGTTATGGGCCCCTCAGCTCAAGAGAGACAGGGAACTGCTTGAGAGAGTCCAGCACAGAGCCACAGAGATGCTGAAGGGAGTGGAACATCTCCCTTATGAGGAAAGGCTGAAGGAGCTGGGTCTCTTTAGCTTGGAGAAGAGGAGGCTGAGGGGTGACCTCATTAATGTTTATAAATATGGAAAGGGTGAGTGTCAGGAGGACAGAGCCAGGCTCTTCTCCATGATGTCCAATGACAGGACAAGGGGCAACAGATGCAAGCTGTAACACAGGAGGTTCCATGTAAAACTTTAGGAAAAGCTTTTTCACTGAGAGGGTGACAGAGCCCTGGCACAGGCTGTCCAGGGAGGTTGTGGAGACTCCTTCTCTGGGGACATTCAAAACCCATCTGGATGCGTTCCTGTGTAACCTACTGATCTTTCGAGGTCCCTTCCAACTCCTGACATTCTGTGATTCTGTTGTAAAACAAATGTAACACAGACTAACTCCCACCCCCTGTATCCAAAGATCTCACTTGACGACTAGGGAAGCCCAACGGTATCAGACATCAGCTCTTCCATGGCTGGTCACTAACATTTAATACTTTTTAGTTTTCCCTTTCTTGTAAACAGCAACCCTGAGTCTGTTCAGCCACAGATATCTCCAGTCTAGATTTATCACTGAAAGGAAATGCAATAAAGGTATTGCCCTGCAGCCCATGAAGAAGTCCATGCCAGAGCAGATATCCATACGGTGGCCTCTGGAGACCCAAACCAGACCAGGTGGACATGTCCTAAAAGAAATGTGGCCTGTAGAAGACCCATTCTAGACTGTGTTTATCCTGAAGGACTGCAGCCTGTGGAAGAAGCCACAGGGAAGTGGAGCAGGGGAAAAGTGGGAGGAGAAAGGCAAAGCAGAGAGGAACTGTTATGAACTGACCATAACCTCCCATCTTCTGTCCCTCTACGCCACTGGGCAAAAGGAAGGAGTCGGGGAGTAAAGGAGTGCAATCAAGACTTCAAACAAAGAAGGATGTCTCTTTTTGTTTCTCACTATACAAACCTATTTTACCTGACAATAACTAAATCTTCCCAAAGTCATCTGTTTTGCCCATGATAGTAATTTGTAAGCAATCTCCCTGTCTACCTCAACTCATGAGCTTTTTCACTTTTTCTCCCCCATCCCCTTAAATAAGGGCAGTGAAAGAGCAGCTGGGTGGGTGTCTGGCAGCCAGCCAAGGTCAAGCCACCAGAGCATCTAATGAGATTTTCTCCATATTCAAACTCGCATCCTCTGCCTCATTACCATGTACCTCTGAGAATTGCTCAGGCACATCAGAAGGCTCCATCTTCTCTGTATCCTTTGCCCCAGCCACATCTGCCCTTTGCTTTCTCTCCATCTCTTCCCCAGTATGAAAAGACACAACTCTCCCAGTATGCCATGGTGTCACACGCTGCGGCCCCCTGACAAGCCTGGGTAGCCCCCACTGGACTTCCTCCATTGCAGCGCTCCATTTCGGGTATTACAGAGCCCAGATGCGACTTCACAAGTCCCACATCTTGGGAAGGCTGGCTACGCTCTTACTAACGTGACCCCAGGAGATGGTTGGCCTTTGCTACAAATGCCACTTGTTTTCCACAAGCAGTCCCACGTCCTTTTCTGGAGAGCTGCTTCCTGGCTAGACAGCCTCTGGCCTAGACTGGTGCGTAAGAGCTGGACTTTGAAACTCTCTTTGGTAAAGGTCACGAGGTGCCCGTCAGCCCATTTCTCCAGCATCTCCACATCCCTCTGAGCAGCAAACCTGTCTTTCAGCAGCTTGACTGCTTCTCTCACCTTGGGTAGTGGTGTCGTCATTCCACTGTTTGGCTGCCTCATTCTTCCATTCATTTGAGAAGAATCTAGTGCTGATTTAGCCGGCACCTGGAACCTCGAACAGGGGAAAGTACACAGCAAAGCAGTTTGCACAGTACTGATTGGAATCCTATGACTTTATACTGCACTTGTTTATGGCAAGGCTTTGAAAGCAATATCAGAAGAGAACCAAGATGAACAGAGACAACAATTTAGCCTGATGACTTCTGTGATGAGGGAAGCAGGATTAAGTGCTCTGAGTGGACCAAAAAACCCCCCACTCTTTACCCCTAAGTAGTTTACTCCAGTTACAGTAGGCTCAGAACCAAAACCAGTGTCTTTGTACATAGCAACAGCAAAAGCCAGTGGAAGGGGTGGAACTGGGTGACAAAGGAGAAAACTCCCTCCACTGGCTCACACACTGTAACAACCTGATCTCACTCCCCTTTTACCTACAAAAATAGTAAGAAAAGCAAATATAATTTTACACAGCAAATATATTTCATAGACTTCTGTCCTGGTTTTGGCTGGAATAAGCAGCCCCTCTCAATATACATTAAAAGGAAACTGTCATATTCCCTGCATAGTAGAAAGGATACTGCCAGGGAGGAGGGAAGGGAGGGGGGGAAGCAAGCATCTAACAGTGCAGTATTTAAAGCCATAAAGTAGTCCCAAGTTTCAGCTGATCGAAAAGAACAAAGAATTATCAAAAAATCCCAGATCAGCCTAGCTTGTTAGCATCTCACGTTACTCCCATCTTTCCAATAACTGTCTCGTATCTTTTCCTTAGTCACGAAGATAGAAACATGAAAAACATAGGTTTGGTGGTCAAACAGCAGGCCTGGGAATTTCTGCATAAAGAAAAAGAAATATCTGCACTCTTAGAAGTATTTGCCTTAAAGTCAGTTGCATTTCTGTACCACCACACGCAGGACGGAGCATGGGTTTTAAGACTTAATACATCGCTTGAATTTAGACACAGTATCTACAGTTATATATGGCACAAGAAGCGACACATTTGCACAGGTACGTTTTATTTTTTCCTGTGTTTACAGTGCTTCAGTAATTTTAAACCATTCAGAAAGCACGATTTCATACCAATTTTACATACTTTACATCACAGTTCAACAATGTTAACACAATTGTATCTACTAAACCAAATGAACAAAATGGCCATGAACATTTACACTATTCTTCTGTAAACAAGTTTTTCTTTTATAAACAATGGTAAATGGAATTAACACAGACCACCATATGAAAGAGGAATGAGTTTTTCCTTAAATAAATCACTCTGTTTATAAATACTTCAATTCTCTCAATATACATTTACAGACATAATTGATTAAAAGCAGATTACCTACACTGTTCTTTAAAAAGAAAATGTCTAGAGATGGACCACTTTCACCTAACATAAGAAGCAAGCATATGATTAGTAGAGTGTTAAACATATTATTTCAGCCTCACTTCTGTTTATTTCAACATTGAGAAGATTGTCATGTTAGGGAACTTTTACTTGAATTCCAGCAAATTACAATCGATCTTGTAGTACACATATGGGTAGTACTCCTGCTGACTGAGGTTTAAGCCTGGAATATCCATAGTTGCCTGCAAGTAAAGTTTTGAAACTGGTTACACTCTTACAATTCAGACTCCTATTCTGAAGCAGATGAAATATTCCCGTGTTTTAAAAACAAACAAGCCAGGCAAGACTTAAAGCTTAATTGTGCACATTCAAGTGACTGTTTAAGCAACAGAAAGTTAAGACTTTGACAAATGAGTAACAGTCTTTTTCAAACTGAAAGACAAGTGCTTTTTCAAAATCTAAGTAGTTTCGTATCAGTAATTCACATCTGTTGCTATTGTAAACACACTGCCACCAAATGGAAGCAAAAGGACTGCAATTATGTTTTACTATTTCTAAGCAGGAGCAGTTTATGAAAACAATGTTACAGGGTGCTGAATGATCGAGGAAGTTACATGAAGTTCAGCATCTTTTAATTTTCACATTATTCCTCCAAAAGGCTTGGAAATACTTTGGAAAAACATTACATTAAACAGAACATTAAGAAAGACTATTTTAAACCTTTTAAAATTCAGGTAAACTCATTGTGTTGTCTATTTTAATTAATTTTTAACTATGAAAAGCATATAAATCAAATTAATAGAATAGGCCTCCCAGTAAATCAGTTTCAAACATGAAAATGAGACCTCTGCAGATGGAAAGGATGACTCTCTCGTGACATCAATTCAGCCTCCTTCAGCAGGGAATGACAACTACGTTAACTTCAAACCAGCAATGCAATCAAATGAAAAAGTTGTTTCAGTGTTAAGGCCACTGTTACTATAGATAGTGGACAAGTTAAGTATTCCTTCTGGATTCAAAAAAGATATGAAACAGGTTCAAGTTCCTTAAGCCTAGTTTCAGACTGATGTTGACTTTGTTTGAATTCTTTGAGGATATGAACATGAATGCAGGCTATCTTTCCATCAGTAGTAGGAAAGACTGCAGTAACAAGAAATTACACAAGACTTTTATACCAGACAGCTCATCAAATGCATTGGTTGCAACTTTAAATACCATCTGCTTTGCACAAATGTAAAATAGAAGTGGTATTTCTGCAAGGAGAAATATTTTTCTGTACTGTGTCAGAATGATGAAGAATATGGAGAGGTGCAGCTTTTTAATAAAGCCAGTGAACATTTTTTTTTGTTTTTTAAACAGACTACATCTAATATTGAAGGGGAGTAGCAGTTGTAAAAACTTACATCAATGATAGCTGCTGCACTGCTGTCAAGGTGTTTGTACAAGTCATACAAAACCTCCCTCAGTTTCTTCATTGTTTTCTTATTAGGCTGAAGCAGCATTGCCTGGAAGTTAACTGGCAAACCATACCTGAGGAAGTCAAGCAGAAAACAATGAAAATGCTGAAATTAACCTTCTTTTATCTTTCAAAGCAGAATTTTATTTTAGTTTGAGGAAGGATCTTATTGTTGAAGTGGAAATTCAGCTCACTTTCCAATTCATAAGGCATCAGTAAAGTTGAACTTCTCTCTTCAAGTTTAAAATAGCAAACCAGAAGTCTAAATGCTTTTAAAATAATTTTTAATCCTTGAGTATTGAAGCACAATTCTCAAAGTTACCTGAAATCTTGGACTAAGCTATGAAAATTCCACTTAGTTTACTTGCAAGACTTTGCTTATGCCACTAGGTGGAGAACCTACTCTCTACTCAACCCTCCTTGCTAGGAACATGGAAACATTTGCCAATACTCAAGCTTTCTTCCTTACTCAAGTTTGTGTTCAAAATAAGCCCATAGCAGCTATGAAACAGGCTAAAAGGCAAGTTAATGTGCTTTTTTTTTTATTTTTTCCTTTATGAGAACTTATAAAAAATGCTACAAGAAATGTTTCCATTTCCATTTTTTAAAAAGAAAAATAAAATCCGTGTTCTTCCTTCTGCAGAACTACTACAGGTAGTAGTTCTTACATCAACTTAGTAACTATACTTCTGAATAGGTATGAAGGAAGAAGCAGAGAAATTTTATAGTTAAAATGTTAACCAGTTAAATTCTGAAAAGTTTAGACTACAAAATTCTTAGAAAGGGATGTTTTAAAGAAAAAAAATAGATTTCAAGATGTCAAGCAACTCAAACCCTGAATACTTTTTATTCTGAAGTATTCACATTTCCCCACTTAAAGAGAAGAGATCTTAAGCTCTTCTTACAAGCAGCTCATAAAGCAAGCTAAAAATCAGCAGAAGTGCCTTGCAGCAACTTACAGAGTACCTGCAATTCCTTAAAGCGTTGCTGGAAAAGACTATGCAAGGGACAATATGCACAATTATCTAGCCCAAATATTCCAAAACTCACAACAAGAACTACTGCCATCAGCTCTTCTTACTGCCCTACTACTTCTTTCCTCCTTCCTGGAAGACTGCCCAATTTGGTAAATCCAAGTTAGATGTAAGTTCTTACAGTCTAGGAAGCAAAGCACTACTCAGGTATGTCTCATTACCTTAAAACAGATTCCACAAAAACTCGTAGTGCTTTCACATGAATCCATGCAATGAAAGCTTCACTGAAATTAACTTTCAGCCACCGAACCAGAGGCCCCTGTGAAATGGAAGAGAAAAAAAAATGTTATTCAAACTTCAGAAAACGATTGATCCCATCAAGCATGTTTGAGCAGATGCTCGGTATCTGTACGATGATAATAAAGACAACTTGAAGGCAGAGTTCAGTATGGATATAATGTCTCAAGGGTATTTTAATATTAAGTAAAGAGAAACTGACAGTTGTCTCTTCAGTATATGATCTCAGCTGCCACATTACTAATATCTGATTGTATCATTCAGACACTTGTCCATTTTCAGATTTCATATATCATCAGCTGCAATATCAGCACTGAGTTCAATGCAGTGAGGAGTAGCTGTGCTACAGGGACCCCAATTGTGCCCCAGCAGCTCAGCTGGGCAGCAGGTTGACTACGCCACATCATCCTTACGATGCTTCCTCCAAATCACATGTTCATGAAATTGTTATGTAGCAATGACAAGCCTTAGATGTCTCATGTTTCCATAATGACTAGTTTATACAGACTTACAAACTGTTTCTTCTTATCAGTTGACAGTCTATTCATTTCCTCTTTATCTGCTTTCATCTCTTCTTCATTATACTGGAAGTCACGGACCATAAATCTGCATTTTGAAGTGAATAAAATCAAAACTGGCTATCTAGAGATCCTTCAAACCATGAGAGGCAGAACATACACAAAATAAGCCTTACTTATATTCTCTGGCTTTATGCTTGAAGTCATCCACCGCCTTTCTGAACAAGGTGACATTACAAAGGTAACTATCTTGATCCTCAAAGAGTACACTACACAGAAAAAAAAAAAGTCAGAATTAATAAGGTTTGAGTCATCACAGATGTGATCTACAGCAGCTTAGGTTGTAACTCATCACTACTAGGCAGGAACATAAATGTAAATAATCGCACAGGATTAGTTCCCTTATACAAAAATCAGTTCACCTTATACAAAAAAAGTAACCAAAACTTTAGCAACTGCTCTTATTGCTCCCTTCACAAAGGATGGCAGTTTCCATTTCAAATTCAGAGACTTCAGCACTAATAAACACTTCACATATGTCTGGATATTTGTTCAGGTTAAAAATATTTTACAGATAAAGGAACTAAAGTAGGTTTAATGTTGAAAAGTTTGGACAACAGAAATCTTTTAAAAGTATGCTTTAAAGAAAAAGAAAATGGATTTAAAATAGAAAAGGACACCAAATAAAAAGACGACAGCGGCAAGAGAAGTGCTTCTTAGACTGTAAATGCAACCCCTTGATTTACTATTTTACAGTTCAAGACAATACTGCTTATTTTGAGACTTTACCTTAATAAAAAAAAAAAGCTTGGAGACATTTAGAGTGTTCCTCAGTGACATGCTCTGTTCAGTACAAACATCAGCCTAACAAGTTACCTCTTCTTAAGCTCTCTCTACATCACAGTTTCCCATTTATTAAATGAAAATGATTAGCAGATCTCCCACTAGGCTTACGTTGATCCAACTCAGATGTGAAGTTAGCCAGAGCAAATTCCGATTTCATAACTGGCATAGAGCTGGTAACATCAGCTCTGCCTGATCAAAACCTTACTCCGTCAGTTAAAATTAACAGTGCTGCAAGGCTTTGCCTACACGTTGATTTTATTTTCAGCATGGTTGCGAGATTACTAAAGTGGTTTAACAGTATTATCAAATCCCAGCCTCAGTCTTGCCCACCACAGACACAAGCACCACCTCAGTACCACACACCTTAGTTAGTCTGAAGGAGACAAGTTATACTTCTTTGCACACAAGAAAACCATCCACGCTTCCAGTTCTTCATTCTTTAGTAGCTTTCAAAGAGTATATGTAACTTGTTTCATGTCCTCTGAATACAGGCATAAAGTTTATGGGCCAGCAGCTAGTATTTGTTGCCAAACCCCAACGTGCCCTACCATGAAAGTTGAATGTGCCTGACACAAACTAGATTAACTTTTCAATTCTTTTCCTCTTTCCATGTGAGTTTGATAACTTTGTTAACCCTAAAGTTAGAGATCTTTTGGGTTTTTTTCCTCAGCCACAACATAATCAGGCCTGATCAGATAAAGCTAGACATTTTGACAAATTTTTGAGGAATCTATAAAATTCAGAATTGCTACAGATAAAGAACAGTTACAAACTATAGCACACGCAAATACAAGATTTAGCATTTAACAACTTACTTGCTGGAACGTGGTACAACCATCTCTGCTAGTGTTTCATATTGCTTAACCCAGTCATTATAATTTGACCTAGAGAATACACAGGTTACTGTTAGACTTCTAGGACTATAGTAAGCAATCTTGGATTGATAGATCAAGTTTTTCCCCTAAAAAATATTAAAAACATTTAATCATCACATCTTCCAACTCAAGCACAAGTTGTCAGAAATACACAAGACATTAGGGACAGTCTTCCTCTTGCTGTTTTTAAGATTATTGCTAAATAAACTATAACGACAGCAGAAGTAGCATATTGTATTTTTAGTCTTCGTATAAGTTTACAAGCACACCATTTTTGAAATCAAAGAACTATGAAATTAAGTAAGTCATCATTAAGTACGGACCTGAAAAGGTCAAATGGAGTTAACCATCAAGGTTTATCAGAAACTGCTTAGGTAACTCTGCTCTTCTGACACCCACTCACGGAACATTTCTTCCACAAGTACAAATGGGTTCCCCAGAGTCCTGTTCTTACCTGAAGGACCACCAAGAATTTTGGAAGCCCTGCCTTTTTGTAGCTGGTGGAGAAAAGGTTCCACCTTCTGAACACCAAAACCAAGTCAAAAGTACAAGCGAAACAGCAGTCAAGATATACCAGCCACCTGTTTTCGGCTAAGGCCATTGCAAAACTGTTTTGCCTTCCACCGAGTTCTACATGTGCCAGAGACTACAGCTTCCTGTGGTACCAGGCTACCGGTTATCTCTACAAGCAGGAAGCTCTCTTCATTCCTAGCTCCAGAGAGAGAGTCTGGCACCATTTTCTCATTTTACAAGAGTCTTAAGGACATCTGTATCACCAGTTTCCTTGGCCAGGGGAAAAGGTGGCATTTTTGTTGTCTGAATATTTCAGACAGCAATGACCTGTTCCCAACAAACCTTTGACATGATATAATCAGTGTTTCATTGGCAGAGACTTAGATAAGTAAAAAAGCAGCATTCTGACAAGGTGGAAAAGTGCAGAGCAAACACAAGTTCACTTTGCTCACTAAGTGATGAAAGCCATCACAGTCCTAACCAGGATGATTCAACCATTAAACCTTCCAATGTAAAACAAGTCATATTTTACTCAGTACTTACTATTTTCATAGGTTTATCTTCTGCAACATGACTAGCCATGGCTAATACTAGATGAGACCTAAATCAAATTTCCAGTTTCTTAAAGAAATTCAAGAGCGCTCAGCATTTCTTATTATGAGTTTCCATAAAAAATGGAATACAGGTGCACAGGCTCGCTTGCCTCTACTAAGCATCCAGAAGTTTGTGTTAGTTTATCCAGGAAAAAATCAAACAAATTCACACTTCCTTTCTTATAGTATTATAAGACCGTGGGATTTATTATTTGATTTAAATTTCTTATTTTATTCTGGTCTTAGGACAAGCAATAAACTTACTTCGGTACAATCACTAATAATGTAACCAAATACTCTGAATCAAGTACAAAGTCCTCTTTCTTTACAATATCAGCAAGACTTCTGGTTAGCAAGCTTCCCCTGCAGAGAAAAAAAACCAAACAGCCAGAGTAAATACACATTTAAGAATTTAATATTTCTGGACAACAGCTTCCAGTGCTTTACAATACAACGTTTTCAAAAAGGTATTTTACTTAAGCATTCACTATGTGCAGAGTAAACAAAATGTCCTTAAATGCATTTTATATCTTATGCTCTAAAGTCACTGAAAGCTTTTTTCAGTAGCTCCAGTACTGTGTGTCATCACCATATTCTAAATACGTCATACACTTAAGAAGTCAAGCTCTCTTTTTTAAAAGTAATTTAAAAACCACAAGAGCCATTAAAACTATCAATTGTGAAATCTAGTATATGCAGCTTCAGAGTTACAACTAACCTAGTACAGACCTACACAAAGAATCACAGAATCACAAAATGCTAAGTTGTTGGAAGGGACCTCAATAAAAATTTAAAGCAGCATATTCACAAAAGACTACACGCATGCGCACATTTAACGAGGCTTAGCTCACAAATTACCACAGCTTAAGTTGGAATTTAAGGCTTACTCATAAAATGGCTATCATTTGTATGACCCATGGGTCTGAATCAGCCACGAGGCTTTTACCGCTAACCGTAACGGTAGGGTTGGGGCAAATTAATCAACCATATTTGCACAGAACTACTGTACTTCAACTATATTTCAGCTAATCACCACATGTATAGGACAAGACAGCCTGCAGTTCTTGGCTGATTTATGCTCTGCATGTACACAATAGCTGTCTGTCTGGTGGTTAACGTTGATACTGCTTATAACACAAATTGGGGGGAAGGGAAAGACTTCCTTGTTCAGACACAGACCTAAGTAGCCACGTACACACTGCTTTAACAGCAAGCTTCTCAAAAGCTCCAGCAATTTATACTATTTGTACGTGCTTTTCTGTATTTCATAAATGCTTATCAAATGCAAGTGAGCTATTGGCAGTGTGTCAGCTGGTAATAAATGTTCTTTTATGACAGCTTCTACTCAAGATTGACAAACACCTGTTCACATGTTATTAAGTTTTCATGGTTCAATAACTTTCCTGTGCTACATTAGCAAAAAAGAATGTAACTTACGCATTCTTTCTTTCCAAATTCTGAAGGTTCCCTTTCAGATTATTGTATGCTGAGGCTCTTGCTTTCAGATCATTGTCAATCTGGTTTACTCCCTTAAAGATAAAAAGAAAAGGAACAGTGTCTACAAAACCAGAATAGTTATTTAAATGACTTCTCAGTTATAACTCTCAGATCTGCAAACAAGAACTGAATGAAAAATGCTCCAGTTAAAATGTTTGTTTCTCTAGTGCTTAACAAGCTTCACTCAAGACTCAGAAAACTCCAAGTTAGATTTCCTTTCCAGGAAAACCAGCCAACAATAAGAGTCACATGCCATCTTCTGGTACCCACTGGACATGCTACTGCATCCAGCTGATCATTACTCCCACACTTTGAAGCTACCAACCTCCATCTCAGCTGACAGGAGAGATCCTTCGAAGTTCACCTTCCTATTATGATGCTAATACACTTGTGAACACTAAGTGTCATTTTGTCCCGCTGGTTCCTCACTTCTCATTATACTTTTTCCTTATGAGAGTTTCAGTGGAAAAAATGACAGTACAGTTTTATGAATAGCAAATTGAGAATTAAATAACCCAAAGCATTAATGTTTTGCATAACCTACAACTTAAGAGAAGACCCTGTTGCCTACTGCAGTTTGTACCTTTCCTTGAGATGAACAGCCTTGGTCACTCAGAGACAGAATACCAACTAAATGCATCATCTGCCTGATTCCAAATGGCCGTTGCTATTCTCAGTTCTAAATATTATCACAATTATATTATGTGTTCTTTTTCTCTGTGTCTGCAAAGGAAAATACAATAAATGATATTATCATCTCCCTTCACAAAGTCATTTTTATGCTGCTGGTTTACACTGGCAGCAGCTTACAACTATAAAGAAATATCTATTTTACTTTACTTCATTTAGTAAAAGCTTCACTATTTTGAAATGTCTGAAGTTGCACAGGGCTAATTCCAGAGTAGACAGATAAACAGTATTTCAGACTTGAATCCAATTTATTTCAGACAACAAATATATTTGTTGAATCAAGAGTTTCAAGTCATCTGCAGCCTTCAATCATCTTTCAAAACTTCCATATCAACGTCCCAGCTATTTTACTGTTTAGACTCAGAATCTCACATTTGGCTTCCCATTGCTGCTCAAGTCAGTCATCTTCCTCAAATCCATCCTCCAGGTTTAATAAGATCAATTACAAAAATTATTCACTCCTAGCTAGGTAACTTGGCAGCAAGTGTAAGAACACACAAAAAATTAAGCCATTAGTAGGTCTTAAACATCCAATCATACTCCTATCAGCCAGTACCCTATAGAGGGAAGTATTTTAAAATCAATATACTTGGTCACTGTTGGCTAACTGACAGAACATAGAACAGTATTGGTCTGGCATTGTACTGCTGCCTATTCCTCCTTCACTTTTTATAACACTAACATATTTGGTTTTTTTTCTAGCTAGAAGACAGCACTTGGGGAAAAAATTAATCAGAAGCCATTAAGCTAGTATCTCTGTGCATTTAAACTTTTCCACAGACCAAAAACCTTCCCCTCTACCTTTTCCAAGGGTCAACAGTTTCAGTAAGTGTAACCTTGCACTATCTAATGACAATAAAGCGAAAAACATTCACACCAAACACTGCCCTTAAGAACCAGTTCCATTCATTATCTCCTAATTGTCAGCACTGTTAATTGCTCTTATTTGTTAAAGTCAGTAGCCTTTTAAAAAAATGACTGCTTAGATGAAAGTTACTGCTGCACTGACTGGACTTTACTGTAAACAAGAATGAGCTTTGTTTCCTATTAATGCATTAGAGAACACATTCAAGAACACAGAACCACAACCTCCACGTCACAGCAAAGCTCTTAAAAATATTTTTGTAAAATTGCCAAATGAAGTGACAATATAAATTTCCTTTTGGTAGTAGAACTGGTGCATAACTCATAAATGCCATCGCAAAACAAAAAACGCAGACTCATGACATTGCTGAAAAAAGTATTGATCTAACATAGTGGGCCTATTTCTACACATAGCAAAGTCCAGATATTTAAACACTTACTGTGGTGGGTTGACTCTGGCTGGAGGCCAGGTGCCCACCAAAGCTGCTCTGTTACTCCCCTCTTCAGCTGGACATGGGAGAAGAAAAATAACAGAGGGCTCAGAGGTCAAGAAAAGGACAGGGAGATAACTCACCAATTACCATGATGGGCAAAACAGACTAGATTTGGGGAAATTAGTTTAAATTATTACCAATCACAGGGTCACATCCTCCTTTGGGCATCCACCTTCTCCAGCATTGGGTCCTCCACGAGCTGCAGGTGGACATCTGCTCCACCATCAATCTCCACAGGCTGCAGGGGGACAGCCTGCCTCACCATGGTCTTCACCACAGGCTGAAGGGACTCTGCTCCAGCACCTGAAGCACTTCCTCCCCCTCCTTCTTCACTGACCTGGCTGCCTGCACAGTTGTTTCTCTCACATATTCTCACCCCTCTCCTCTGGCTGCTACTGCACAGGTGGGTTTTTTCCCCCTTCTTAAATATGCTATCACAGAGGTTCTATCACTGTCACTGACGGGCTCAGCCTTGGCCAGCAGCAGGTTCACCTCATAATTCCATTACTCCATTGGCCCTCCTGGACACGGGAAGTTTCTGGCAGCTTCTTGAAGAAGCTGCCCCTGTCGGCCTCTGCCACCCAAACCTTGCCACACAAATCCAATACAGAGTAACACCTTGTGACTATGAGCTGTTGTATTTTAGCAGATATCCACATTTCTAAAAATGTTTGACAAAGGTACTAACGCTATTGAGGCTGTCTCCCTGCACAACAGTTTTAATCTCAATTTCAAATACAAAGAATGACTTGATTAAGTGACAGCTCTCAGGTGGCACAGATACCATCTCATTAAACCTTTGATTTGCCTCTAAGTCTTCAGTACTCACACTGGAGTTGACAATAAAAGCTAAAAAAACTCGATAGTTTGAGTATATTTCCTTTTATTTTAAAGGTTTCCAACATTGCTACAATTTTTTCCCAACTTAGACATTCTCCACTGCGGTTGCCATTACTCTCATTTTGGCAGATATCAGAAGGCGCTGCCATAGTGCATGTGGAGGAAACGTGGTATCTCGTGACTTGACAAGCTCTTTGAGTTCATAGATTTTAATTAATGTAGTTCTATCAATTTTCGTATATCTTCATGTTAATCACATGCCAAAGCAATGATTTTAACTATGTCAGGACTGTCTTTGCCTGGGCACAAAACTGCTTCAAGCCCTGTGACATTATCTCCTAGGTGTCACTTCTACAAGAACAAAAGGCAATTTCAGTCATCTTTCTTCTCCACTTTATGAATATACACCTGTGGCTCAGAATTCAGAACATTTTATAAACTGTCTGAAATTAGATTTAGAAGGGAAACAAAGCTGGTGAAGGGTCTGGAGAACAAGTCTTAGGAGAAGCAGTGGAGGGTACTGGGGCTGTTCAACCTTGAGAAAAGGAGGCTCAGGGCAGACCTTACTCCTCTCTACAACTACCCAAAAGGAGGCTGTAGCGAGGTGAGTGTCAGCCTCTTCTCCCATGTAACAAGTAACTGGACAAGAAGAAATGGGATCAAGTTGTGCAACGGGAGGTTTAGATTAGACATTAGGAAAAATTTCTTCACCAAAAGGGTTGTCAAGCATCGGTACAGGCTGCCCAGGGAAGTAGCAGGGTCACCATCCCTGAAGCGCTCAAAAGATGTGTAATGAGGTGCTTTAGTGGTAGACCTGACATCGCCAGCTTAAGGGTTGGACTCAATGATCTTAAAGGTCTTTTCCAATCTGAAGGATTCCGGGATTTATTTAACAAGCTCTAGGATGCAGGATAACATGCGCTGAATTCTTGACAATATTTCAATATACGGCATATCCCTTCATGTTCTTGCTGCTTTCTTGACAAACTTAATTGCTACAAAACCAAACTGTATACTATGGTAACAGGTACATTCCAAAATTGACACAAAAGACCGCTGAAAACTTCCTGCAGAAACCACTTCACCCTGATTTATGTTCTCTCTATCCCTCTTTCCCCACCAAGTTCCTCTTCTCCCAACTTAAATTTCATATGTATACCTGCAAAGTAGCTATTGCAAACACTCCAACAAAACTCCACAGTGCACATTTTTCAGGAATAGCTATGAAATGCAATTGGTGGAGTAAATTCAAATGCAGTGATAGCCCCGAAGAAAATACCAAAATTTAAGAAATTTAAGTTTAAGAAAGAAACTACCATCTAGAGAATCTGCAGTTACAGCAAAGCATGACCGCCAACACCAACCCCCATTCCCACCTTGATTATAGTTTCCACGTATCCATCACCAAAGACTTTCTCTACTACTCTCCGAGTAGCTGCTGCTTTTTCCCAGGTTATGTATTTTATTGACACAGATATTCCAAGCATCAGTTTGTAGATTACAGAAAACAGAAAAGTAAAAAAAAAAAAAGAAGAAAAATCTGGGAAGATATTAAAGCAAGGGTACCTTACAGAGAACTCTTTCACTGTTTTAATAAAGTAAGTCACTGCTGAGAACTCTCTCCTCACAGCAAGTACAAATGAAATTAAAGCCCCAAACCATGAAAAACTTCACCAAGGTAAAGATGGGAAAAACCCACAACACCACTCAGAAGAGCTTTCCTTGTATCTAACATCGAAGGCTTATTTTTCCCCTCACAACTGAGTGCCGTAGCTCTCGGAAGGTAAATAAATTCCCTGATTCACTGGTAAAAGCCCACAAAGCTCGAGAACATCAGACCAAAGGCATACCAGTAACTTAAATGCAAGTGACATAATTTGCTGGCTCTTTATCTGTTAACTCCGATACTAGGAAACAAAAAACAGCAAAGAACAGTACGTTGCCCTTCAGGATGCACTCTCCAAATGCTGTCCCCATTCTAACACACTTCTTTGGTTGCTTAAACACAGACACTGCGACCAGGTTCACTGTTACTGTTAGCAAAGCTACGTGAAGCTAGGAAAAACAGACAAATAGCTTTGAGTACCAAGTTTTGTGCATAAATATCTCAAGTTCAAGAATGAAAGTTTTAAAAACAAATTACCTTACCTTTGCGATGATTTCTGAAATATTCTTCAAGGATTGCTTGATTGGGTATTTGGCCATATCCCACTGGAACCTTGTTATATAGGTGACCAAGTCAACTAAAATTTTAAAGAAGGAGTTTGTTAAGGCAGATAATAAAAAGACTGATGTATTATATCTCATGTAGGACTGCTGTAACAGAAAGTACTGTAACAGACTGTGCACCCTGTCGCTTAAGAAATTTCAAAAAAAAAGATCAGTTTGTAAGTTATTATATTGAGTCGGGCTGAGATGAAGTTAATTTTCCCCACAGCAGCTCTCACAGTGCTGTGGTTTGAATTTTTTTTGGTAGTGGCACCTAGAGGGGTGTTGATAGCACCCCAGTGTTTTGGCTGCTGCTAAGCAGTGCTCACACAGCACCGAAGCTGTGGTTTTCCAACATTTCCCCAACAGTAGGCTGTGGGTGGGCAACATCTTGGGAGTGGATACAGCCAGGAGAGCTGACCCAAACTGACCAGAGGGCTATGCCATACCACAGGACGTCAGCTCACACGTAAAAGCGAGAAGGAAGAGGGAAGTGTGTGTTGGGAGGGGGCATTCAGGGATTGCATTTGTCCTCCAGAGCAACCGCTACGAGTACTGGAGCCCCAGTTCCTGGGGAAGGAGCCAGACATCACCTGCTGATGGCAAGTAGAGAATAATCTTTGTTTGGCTTTGCTTCTGCATGCGTTTTTTTGCTATTGCTGTATTAAACTGCTTTTATCTTAACCCACGGGCCAGTCGTTATATCTTCCCTCTCCCTTGTCAATCTAAGAAGGTGGAGTGATAGACCAGCTTTGGTGATCTCCTGGCCTCCAGCCAGGCCCAAACCTGTAAATCTATCAATGAGATAGCCTACTGCAAACCCCTATCTAAGAACAACTGTGTTATTTAGGACAACTGCACTTCATGTTAATCTACTCATTTAGCCTTTCTTGCATCAATAAAAGCTGTGTTAAATTTTATGAAATAGCTTTGAAAATAAAATAGTGATTTACAGACCAGTGCAACTCTTTACTATAATAAAACGTACAAATGTTTCCGTGAGACCACTAGTTCTACAAAGATATTCTGTCACAATTTGGTAGCAACTGAGCATAGCTTACATAAAATCATACCTATTCAGATGTCAGACTAATACAAAGAATGCTTACAGTGATCAGTAACACTAATTCTTAAGTTCCATTGAGACCAGTGATGACAAAATACAGCTCAAAAGAATACAGCTCAAAAGAATCAAAAGGCTCTCTAAGCAAATATTTAACATGTAGTTCAAAATTCCTGCCATTCTGGATCCTGTAATTTGTTTCAGGGCACATAACTCATAGAATAAAGTACTTCCATGTCTAAAGTAGGCTTTCCAAATGTTACAGAGAAGCAGAACTCAGTATATTTCAGGATCACTGCCTTCTCTTCTATACTGTTAGGATACACATATCATGGTTAACACTTTACCTCCATTAGCCAGAAGATTCTCCTGAACTTTATCTTTACTGTCTTCTAGAACATCAGCCATATACTGGGCCACTTTCTTTACAACACTGAAAAATGAAAAATAAAGATATGCAAAAAAAAATTTTTAAAACTGCTGTTTTAAGAAATACCATTTATGAAACCGATCTGAAATTGCCTGAGACTGGATCAAAAGAGTTTGAATCAAAAAAGGAAGAACTGATTGCTTTACATGCCAGCTTTCCAAGAGCACAAACTGGGCTCAGTCCCTGATTAAAACCAACTTCACAAATACATGTCAGAACTTCATTTAAATAATTTTCTAGTGTTGATACTCATCAGCCTCCAACAAGGTGATGCTACTTCCCTCACCTTGAGGTTACAGGGATTGACTTCAGGTGTAATCTCACCATATTCTAACCTTTTTTGAAGTCTGTGGCACTTTCAAAATCCTAATCCCTTTCTAAAAACAGATATCAAGGTAGAAAATCATCAATAATCCAAATTAAACATGAGGCAACCATAACAAAGAAACACCAAAGACAACTGAAAAACTATGGAGAACCCTAGTCCTAAGCCCTCAGGAGATCTGACACTCAGGACCTGCCTTCCTCATTAGAAATGCTATATTTAATATTACCTACATGTACCATGCCAAAGAGCTTCCTTTTCCATTTAAAAACAACTACTTAGCACTTCTCCCCTTGAAACAGATGATGGCTCCACAAGTTCTGGTTATGTGAAATTGTTACATTTGCTCAAAATTGCTTTCAAAGGACCACTAGTTCTTCAAAATGAATAGGATTTGTGTTTAGTCATCTCTGTGGATTAGGGAACAACGTGGTTACCTTCTCAAAGTCTGTAAACAGTACTCTAACTTGCTAAAACTTTACTTCATCATCACTTCCTGCAGTTGTCAGACTCAGTTCTTAAGTGAGGCAGGATCTGGCAGCACATGGCACTACTAGAGGGAAAACTACCCTTCATCAATGTATAATGCCTCATTATTCCATAAAAAGTTCAGATTTTTTAATATTTTTTTTCAAGTACAGATATTAGGAAAATCAGCAGCTTAGCTTTCTGAAACCTTAGCTCACTGAGTGCCTGCAAGGGATCACTATGGAATAATAAAAAAAAAAACTCCAAATAGCTTGTGTATTATTAGGACTTGGCAAACCATCATATCATCATTATTCTAATATTTTGCATGCTAGTAAAAATAAATTGTTACCCCTCCACAAATGCATCCAGTTTAGCCAGCTCATCTGACAAACCAACCAAAACATCCAGTGTGCCAACCTAGAAGGAAAGATCAAAATTCATTAGCAATTGTATACATAGAAAGACAAAACCAAATAACAATATAAGTTAAATCTCCTCAACAGGCATCTTTACAGAACTATATAAAATACTGTACTCTAAGATTTTAGACTTTCACAAAGTCGTACTGTTTCTCATTTGCTCAAGATACTCCTAAAGCACCACTGTATCAGATCTAACTTACCCTACTCACACTCAACTTTACATGACTCCTGTTCTTGTTAGCCTTGAAACAGAAAGGAGTGCAATCACTTCAGCAACATCACAACAAAATCACTTTCCATGCCCTACCTTCACCTGAGCTACGTGCAGAATAAGGAAGCTCACATGCTGACCAGTCACACACAAGCCACAGGACAAGTCTTTTAAGCTGTAAGGCTGCTGTTCAATGGAGACTAAGTCACTGTTTCAATGTGTTTTAACTAAAGGATCTCATTCCTTAGTTTTACCAGTTTCACAGACATCAGACCATTTCCCAATATATATAAAGTATACTCAGCTTCTGCCCCTTTTAGGAAGCGGAGTAGAAACAAAAACGATCATTTATAACCCTAGCGGGTCACATCAGTTTTCAGTGATAACTTTTCTAAATGCTGCAGGCACTCAACAATTCAAAAGCCATTCTGACTCTTGTTCAATGATCTCCTGGGAGGAGACAGACATTTGTTGCAGTCCCTCTTCTTACACCTGCTAAGATACCTCTTGAAATAACTCCCAACAGCCTAAATGTGAGCAAAACTCATGGCAGCTGGCAGATCCTCTTAAAAAGACACACTGAAGCACTTAGTGCCCCGGGTCCGATCCTCAGCAGAGAGGAATAAGGCATCAACCACCTCAGCTTGAGCCGCTTTTTTGTCTTCATTTTGATATGCTCTGATGAGCTTTCACTCAGTTAAACTGAGCTCACAATTCTTGTTCAAGAAACATTCATGTGTCAGGATAGATCTTTTCCCAATCAATACACTGGGTCATAACTTATCCATACCCTGATAATTGTATTTAGCCAAGAGAAACTGCTTGCCCCATTTTGTTTCTCTTCTCACGTTAAAAGTTCAAACAGTTTTCTTCTCATTTACTGTAACACATCAGTAGGTCACACAGGAATGCTCAGCTGGAGAAAATCAGTAATCTAACAGAGGAATGTTACTTCTGGATAGAGAAAAATGCATCAGCTATTTGACCAACCCCGGTATTTTAAATCAAGCCTCTTCACTGTATCTCAGCCAGAAAAGCAGCAGACAATTCAGAAGTAAAGAAAAAAAAAATCTCAACAGAAAACCAAAGGAAACCATGTCATCTGAATATTCAGATCACAAGTCTCCATTTTTCTTCTAATTTTCTTCTCCAGCTAACTGCTAGCAGCATGAGGTCAAGACTACTATCCCTGGAAAAACTGCTCTATTAGCTGAAAGCACACAGCTTGCTGATCCTTTAAAACTCACACAGCGGAGAATTTTTAATTTTGAATTTCAGAAAAAATTTAACTGTTGTCCAAGTTATTTTTAGATCCACACATAATCATGAGAAGTCAGCTGTTTGCGTTAAAAAGTCTGCAAGTTATTTCCCATCTACCGTTTTAGCCTCAAGAAGCAAAGATGATGCAAACCAAACATACTTCTTAGGACATGAAATGGTGCTCACATACCTTCAAGTCTGGAATATTGAACTTTGAATTAGTAGAAAGATTATTATTTTTTGTAGTTGCTGCATGTAGTTTTTCCCATGTCTGTTGACAGGTTTTTTCCCCAGGAGCAGAAATCAGCCAAAACTCGGTCATTTTTATGTCTTTATCTTGATGCTTTCTGCTTCTGAAGATACAGACAAGATGCTAGGAAGGGAAGTGAGGCGGAGAGAGAAGAAAGAATATCTGCCATTAGTTTGGGATTCAAAGCTTTGCCTGAAGAAAAACATCTCGTTCCATGTTACTAAAGTGCAGTTCCAGCCACTGTAAGAGATTTTACCAAGAGTATCACATGGTTCCAAATTCATTTTTTCCTACCTTGGGAAGTCTTTTTAAACTGCTCATCCTGCAAGTTGAAATAGGCTGAGTTTGCAACATTAGCATCTTTCAACTGCAATCCCACAAAAGATTATAAGTAAAAAATCTAAATGAAAATAAATCCAACAGCACGGGGCCCAAACTGTATTTTCACAGCTGAATGTGTTTTGAGTACCTGCACATAAGGTAAAAAAACCAACCCAACAAACTTCAACACTGACAGCTTTTCCAATCACTTTTCAGATCAGGATGGTGTTTTAAAGTGAATAAATGACTAATAAACATTTAAATGTGATAAACTATAGTTTATTCTTTCAAGCAAAGAAAGTTCTCTTGGTAGCTAAAAAAATACAGCAAAAAGGAGGACACTTTCTAGTCTTTGTATATCTGGTATCACTGCAAACTGTCAATAGCGTTACACATACTGGCATTAGTCATGAGAGTGTCGGTACTAAACACAAATTATGTTGAGCTACTTGGCAAATAAGCTCAAGAAGATAAATGCATAGATGTTCCCCGTCAAAGAAATAGAACAAGCTGGTTGAGAATTACTGGATTTTTAATAAGGGAGTAAAGAAGAAACTCAAAGCGTAACTTGACAGAATCTGCATGTCAAATTTTTATATTTCCAATGTCTTACATAGCAGCTTTGAAAGAGTGGAGACTAACCTAAATTTCAGAATGAGCACAGACTACAACACTTAAGGTGGGTTCTTTTGGGAGAGAATCAAATATTGTATTTGTAGGAATTAATACACAGTAGCAAACCTTGCCCAAAACAGCACACACAGGTCCTTCATCTGTATAATTATTCTAGAGTCAACAAGTTATGAAAGGTGTAGAAATTAAGAGACAAACTGAAGAAAGGCCTTCTATTTGAGAAATCAGAATATTTACCAGACCACATGCACGTCCCACTCCAGACAAGCTTGTCTAGCCTGACGCAGCCCAGTTCTGGGCACTCTCCTGTGCTGGGGCCACGCACTGACACGGCTGATTCTATTCAACAGCAGAAAGTCAAGGATCTAGAAGTTATCTGTGCTCTCTTCACTGACATTACTCTCCTCCCCTAACAGGTCACCAAAGGAGGCTGGAAGGAGAAGGGATAAGGAGTTCTTTGCTTCTGGAAATAGTATGGGTGAGAAAAGGTTCCTATGTCTGAAAAGGCCAGGTGTAAAAAATGGGTCTACCTCCCCCCATCATGCTGTGACCTTAAGTGCTGGGGAGTGGGCAAGTGTGTGGGGGGGTGTGAAATGCATGCCAATGACCCCTCGGGCACCACAGACCCCCCATGCTCAAAAGTGCACACTGGAACAATCCTTCGTCACACCGTACTGATGATTTTGGTAGTGGAAGGCATCATGAAAAATTACAGCAACTTCAGTCATCACCATGTTACAGCACTTCTTTGTTAGAGAAGCGCCAACTGGATTATCTCACATAACGGGTCTCCGCAGGAGGTCTACTAATTACCAACGATTTGGAACAAGAAAAAATTTCCTCTTACTCAGACTACTTGGATGCATTATCTTCCGTAACACATGCCAAACCTGATGAATCCAGTGCACATGATGTTTTCCTACACTTCACTGAACTCTAGCCCTATAAAAGACACTGTCAAGTTTACTGTAAACTTCACCCACACACCGCTACTGTTAACACACACACTCAAAGTGTTTAAGCTTTAAATTGATTTTTGTTTGGATTTGACTAGGCTAGGAAGTTCTAGAAAAGGCTTTGGAATAAATGTTGGACAAATAAACTAGTTTAAGTGGTGAGTGCAGCAGTGTGCAAACATCCAGGTAAAAGAGAGAAGAGTCATAACATAGAAATCCAGAATCCTATTCAGTAAGACAGATGGAACATTGCATTCTCACGTTTTCCACTAAAACATAAATAGCCCCTAAAGAATATGTATAAAGTTTCCAGATATTATGTCATCTAAGGAAGCAGTTACATGTTTACACTGACACAGTCTCATTCCCTGCATCACAGATTTGGAACATCAACTACCATTAAAAAACTAAACATCTTTTCCCAGGGGTAGGGGGAAAGAAATCCTTAATGGATGCATTGCAAAGAATAATTGTCTTCAGTAAGTAAAATTTTCCAATCTTTTAAAATTACTTTTCAAAGGCCAACTGCTCAGACTTCATATGATGACTACAAGACCACCACAAACAACCAAGCGGACAACACCTGATGGACTTGCAGCAAATCTTTTTTTAATACTCAAAGCCCAATGAATAAGAGCACCTCATGACTCCTTCATATCAAATGCATAAATGGATTGTTCAGCTGAATAACCAGGGTCTTTTTCCACTGCTCAAAGTGAAGAGCAATAGGTGGAACAATTGTAGCTTCCAGGAATCATTAAGCTAGTGGATTTATTTTCCCTCCTTGCCTGTTTTTGTTTGTGTGGTTGGTTTTCCCGAAGCTCTGTTCCATTTTCAATAGCCACAGGAAGCAAGATGATTGTCCATTTCAGGTACCTACTCAGCAAAGGCAGCGTCAAACACATACAATTAAAAAAAGCTTAGTAGAAGAGTTTTAAATGTTTGTATGTTTGTGGGTGGGGTTGGTTTTTTTTGAGGAGGTGGAATTTGAAATCACAACTATGGGGATTAATGAACAAGAAATGAAGAAAGGAGAAGTGCAACAGAATGGCAAGAAAACCACAAACAAATGCTAGTCAGCCAAAAAAACCACCAAAACACAAAACAGACTGGCCCACTGTAAAATGAAAGCCAGGAAATTTAAAGAGCAGCAACACAGAATAAAGAGGGCAATACCAATGAGTCAAATAAAACCTAAAATAAGCAATATGAATGCACAAAACAACTGTTGTTTACACCATGTATCTCCATGACCAGCACTTTTTTGTGCTGTACTATTGAGTAAATTTGTCATTGCATAGTATCACCTAACCCCTGTTAGCTATTTTTGCTATTTCATTTTTTTCTCGCGTATACTCTTAAGAGAAAAAGTGTTCATAAAGAGATATCTGCATACATAAATGGAATTGTTTACAAAAATATATCCATCAATTTAAAAACATTCCATGCTATAGCACAAGTATCGTTAATCAAGCTAATGCTTTCAAAGATTTTTTCCGAAATACTGTCCATTCAGTACTCTACCACATCATGATATTAAGTGAGTAGAAACTATCTTCCCAGTTCTGCTGAATGTGGGTAAAGCCACCCATTAAAGAGTGAAACTGCTTCTGAGATGCCATGTGTAAACATTTTCTTGCCAACTTCAGTGTTTGCTATGTAACCAAAAAGAAAAAACAGACACAGGAAAATGAGAAAGTTTATAAAGGAATCTCTCTATATGCTGAACCAAAGTTCAGGACTTGCAGGAACAAGCTAGCTACCTTGATACTTACAATTCCACAGGTCATGACATTACTATTTTAACACTGTATGACCAAACCATCAGTAATCTCCAAAACAAAATATTTAACCTTGCAGGACCAGCAGTCCTTTGACCCATCTTTATCTTGTTCAGCACTCACAAAGGACAGAAGTTGTCATTTGCAAGGGCTTAATACTAGATTAGGACACAATTTTCTCATTTTAGATTCAAAATCTGGGCAGCATCCTACAGAGTCTCCCTGACACTTTCTCATAAGCATACCTGAAACACAACTTTGAAGTGTAATAGTTTTCTATGTGCTGTTAGAAAAATATTTAAGTAACTGAAATATATTGTCAAGATGTTCTGCTAGTCAAATAAGCACAACACACCTATAAAATGCTTGAAATATTTCAACCCTTGGAGCTTTCCTCTAAAGTACCATTTCTGAACCCTAACTACTCTAATGCCCCAAATAAGTTTGATATTTTATTAAAGGATTTTGCATTACTACCCATAATCTATACGGCTTAGGGTCTATGTTATTATGAAAAATGGATTTCCAAAGAAAAGCCTTTCATGCTACATACTGTACTACAGTAAAACATATTGTGATGTCAAATCAGAATCTCAGCTAAGACACTCCGCGCTCCATTTTTTCAAAATCAACAGGGTTAGGAGGAGAGGACAATTGTTTCTCCTCCCCTGTTTAGCTCAGCAG